GGCCAAAGACCTGAGGTGTGTCCACTGCAGGCAGGGTCGCGATGTACTCCATGTGCTGCTCCACTGTTTTACACACAGGCACTTTGTAACCCGTGTAGAAGCAGAATGCTGTCTCAGAGATCTTTTAATTGAACCACACCTATTGGGAACGCGCTAGCCATCGACGGTACCATCATCATGAGCGAGGTAAGAGAGCTAGCTAGAACATCCACTTTCATGTAATTTGACTATATTTCACATTAACACTTTACACTGGGTTATTCCTAACGTTATAAGGGGGTTATATATAGGTTATAAACTGTTATTTCAAGGTTTATAAGGTTATACATCTGTGAGTTATTTTGGCGCTTGAATATTGAATGTCGTATTAATGTTTTACCTGGTAGAACCTGCGTGATGCCCTGGACAACATGTTTGACGCGTGCATGTGGAAGAAGTGGTCTAATCTGGACTTCTGGTTCACTGGGCTGCTGGAGTGAAACACACAGTTTTACAACTGGGTGTTTGAAGGCAGGCCCAATACCTTCTGGATGAATTCTCACAGTGTCTACAAAAAAGCCCAATCCAGACTGTACCTTTTAAGGATGCTTAAATGCTTTGTATGTTCTACAGCAGTGTCGTGGCGAGTGTAGTGACATATGCCATTGTGTGCTGGAAAGGGAATTAAGCTAAGGAAGACTTAAACAAGCTTCACAAAATCATTAACAAAGCAAGTGCTACAATTGGCTGCAGCCTGGAATCAATGCAGGACATGTTCATAAAAAGGCTGCAAGTAAAAACCCACATGATCATGGACAATGACACACACCCACTCCACAGCACTCTAATGCAACACAGGAGCAGCTTCAGTAGCAGCTTCATCCTGCCCAGATGTTCCACAGAGAGGTTTAGACGGTTATTTTTACCGACAGCCACGAGGCTTTGTAATGAGTGTAATTGATTAACTGTTTTATGAGGTCTTTCTATTGGAAAATGTTGTTGCCTGTTTTCCCCCAAAGTAGGATAGAAAACAGCACTTGAATCAGACTATTCTTTTAGGGATACAATGGTTGGTGCATGTGTCTTTATGTTATCGTAATATTTCTTTAAATCATGTGTTGGTCATTGTTGCGTGTCCTGTCATTGTAAGTCGTTGGTGATGCATGCTGTGATAAAACAATTTCCCAAATTGGGATTAATAAAGTAATACTCTACTCTCTACTCTTGACTGGCTTCTTCAACCGTCAGGGTGGTGCCTCGTTCAAAACATTAATTTGGCTAACTGATCAAATTTACAGGCCAGTTTCAATTTACCTGGTATATTTAAGATTAGTGTATTCTGTTTTTACATTTTTGTAATGTCAACATCCTATTTCATCGCTGAATATATTAGATTAATTTGTTAGATGTGTTTGATATCCCATAATAATCATATCCCTTTATGTTTGCTCCCCCCGTATGGCTGCAGGTTTCCTGACAGCCATGAGGCAGGAGATAACCAGGGCTGGGATCTGGACAGTCACCCTGCATAATGAGGTGCTGAAGCAGCGCAAGGAGATTACTGCCTCTCCTACTGTAAGTAGCCTCATGCAAAATAGTGTCATTAACAACACTTGTACTAGATACAGCTTTCCCATTGTAACGCTCAATGCCATCCCTCATATTCTTATCGCTGTCTCTCAGGAGGGGGTCTACGTCGTGTTCCTGGATGGGGCCGGCTGGGACCGAAGAAACTGCCATCTCATGTTCACCATCAACTCCACCACCCCCAAGTTCGACATCTGCTCCATCTACAAGCCCAGGCACACAGACCTCACATGGGTGGTGATGCGCACAGTGCAGTCACCCGATCACTGGATCTTACGTGGTGTTGCCCTGCTCTGTGACATCAAGTGATGGACAACTACTGTCTTTCTTTGGTATTTGTGTGTGTGTGTGTGTAAATCTGTGCTTTCATTCAAGTAAGACAAATAAATAAACTAGTGAGAAATTTTAATGGAATTAACAAGCAGTTTTACATTACAACCAACAGCAGTGTGCATTGTTCATTGTCTAGGTGCAACCAAAAACCATAAGATCATTTTAACACAAAAGGCGCAACTCACACACATTTAAAAACAGTTTCTTTACGTCAGTGTTTCCCCATCTCCAGTACCCCCAAAGCACCATTTTTTTTTTGTAGCCACAGACAAACTCACCTGATTCAACTCATTGAGGGCTTGATGATTAGTTGAAAGTTGAATCAGGTGTGCTTGTCTGGGGCTACAACAAATGTGTGCTGTTAGGGGTACTTGAGGAATGGAGTTGGGAAACACTGCTTTACATGGTTAGCTGTAGTATTCCCATTTCACAGTCCAACTGCTCTGTTGTGAGAGTGCCCATGAGAGGCTGACAGTCTGGGTTGAATACTGAGTAAGCGCTCAGTTCTCCAGGTTGAAGTTTAGTTGGGCTCCGCAGTCCCTGGTAGAGCCAGTAGAAGAGGGAGATTAGGAAGAAAGGCAACACAAAGCCAAACTCCGCAAACACCCCAAGCAAAACCAGCCAAAGCAACACCTTCAGCAAAGTCCGGTTTCCAAAACCAAGTCGTCTTGAACCAAGCCTTCGACCCAGAATGCAGTCCAGCAGACAGTCATCCTAAAAAAGTGAGGAGAGAATCAAGTCAGCTAGCTAACATTAATGGGTGGAATTAAGGTTAGCTATCTATGACTATGCCATGAAGCTACCTCAGTACCTGACGTTTTAGTCATTTGAGTAATTTAATTTTAGCCTACCCCCCATTGTAAAGTCCCTGTAGCCTGAGGGACGGCAGACATCGGATGTTTTGTCAACTCCAGTGCGTCTGTATCAGCTGTTGACTCCCAACTGGCGGACTTCAAAGTGTTGCCACTGCCAGGTGATGTTATGGGCTGCATCTCACTAGCCCTTGTTCGGGGCTCTGAACTCTACAAGCTTTTGCGAATGTTAACAACTTCTGACTCATGCTCATGCAGAAATTATAGAGTGCGTGGCAATCTATGCAATGTGCGAGCTGTGCACGGCGCGTATCAATCACTGGTAAAAACACTAGCTAGCCATCTAGCTAACGTTAGATGGATTGTTGAGAGGTGTATCTAGCAGATTGCCCCTCGATCGTGCGAAATCCTGCCTTCTCAATAGCGAAAATGTTATATAAGGCACTGATGGAATTCAACGGTTCACTGTCACAAAGAGCGGTATGACAAATTCGCAGACGAGAGATCTTAAAATCTGTTGTTCTACTGTGGAATGTTTACTTCCTGTTCGGCCGTACGTAATGACGTCTGTTTCTTCATCTGCATCTTCTTCTTCTTTGGTATCATGGCGTTTGCACGTTTTTTGTGCATGCCGCCACCTACTGTACAGTAATGTGTGGTCGATCACATTACATTAGGTGATACAAAAACAAAAAGAAGGGGGAGAAGGAAAAAATTGCACCACCAACTAACCCTACACCTATATACCACTATTTCATTATTTTACTTTTTAGCACCACCCCATTCCGCTACTTTGACCCAAACTGTTCCTACACCAGGCCGACGCCTGGGAGGACAGGTCTCTTTCACTCAATGCACCTTAATTCTTCTGCAGTAAAACCTCATACACCCAAGTACTTCTCTGCAGCTGCCAGCACAACATCTATTTTCTGTGATTTACCTTCCATTTCTGTGGTACAGTTGATAACCATGGCAAAGAATGCTAAGAAGCCAACCTTACTGAAGCACAAATTCGTATCACTGTATTGGCCTTGGCCTACTACTCACCCTTCACCCATCATCCTTTACTCTCTTCACTGCCTCAGCATACGACACCTTCTGTTCTTCTCTGAGCCTGGCAACCTCTGACCCTGGTAACCTCAACCTGTCTCTCTCACACCGGGCACTTCTGATCCCCAGTAACATGGGCACCCCTACAATTGACACACAGTTTTTTCCACGGATACTACACATTCCTTTGTCCCATGCCCTCTTGCCCACTTCTCACATCTCGGAATCTCCCTCCTATACAGTGCTGCAACATGACCATAAACTTGGCATCTGAAACACCTTAGCGGGTGTGACACAAAAGCTCTCACAGGATAACTGACATATCCTAACATGACTTCATCAGGTAAAGATTCTGCTTCAAAACTCAAACGGACAAACATTGTCTTCTCAGTTTCACCATGCTCACCACCAGGTCTGCGTCTCACCAAACGGAGGGCGTCATTGACACAGGGAATCTTTCATTTTAGTTGCTCCACCTCAACACTTAACGCCACACCAGTAATCACTTCTTTCAAAGGTGCCCTGCTCCAGAGAGTAAAGCAAGTCACAGGTCTTGTCCCTAGGCACGTGACGCGAAGCGCCTGCTCCCTCTGGACAGAAGAAACACAGAAAATTATCACAAGTCCACATCGAGCTACCTTCACCGATTTAACAGTACCCAACTTCTACCCAGCCTGAGACTACATTTGGCTTGGCTGATCCAGAAGGCAGGGATCAACTTTCTCCAAAAATGTCACTCCCACTGGGCCCAAATCATCCTTTGCATGACCATCAGGGCAAGGCTTGGACTCGGAGGTCTTCACCACGTCTGTCACCACAGGTAATTCTTCCTCACTCTCGTCAGGTTCAGAGCCATCAGACAGCAGAATACGGTTTGTACTTGGCGCCATTCTTCCTCAACACACATCTTCCCACTGCTTCTCCTTCTTCATCGCTGTCCATAACCACGTCGATCCGTTCACCACGCTCATGCCGTGCTTTCATCCGCTATACTGCTTGTAAAACATGCACTGATGGCATTTCTCCAATACCCACCTTCTGTTCCTTAGCCCAATTTACTAGTCCGTCTATCTCTGGCCTCTCCATGCTCGCAAAACGTGGGCTTCCCTGCCCACCTGTCGACGTCAACTTGTACCCTGTTTGGAAGCCACAACCGAAGGGCCAATAACGTCTGTCGTGTCGTAAAGCGCAAGGAAATGTTGTAAACGTGACTCAACCAAGCACTGTCAGAGATATTAAAAAGTATATTTTTCTAAAATATTTCACACTGTCAAAATTCTTTCTCTCTGTGTGTGTGTTCAAAGTACAGTAATATCATGTTCAAGTACACACATTTTAATGGAATTAACAAGCAGATGTTTGTTCTTTCACAGCATCATCAATGTGCAGCAGTGGTGAATGATCTTGTAGTTTGGAATAGGCTCCATTTGACTTCAAAATCAACATCAGCAATGTGCACCATTCAAATAAATACATTTCCAGTTAGCTATTCAATTTCAGATTAAAGTCAGTTGTTTTAGGGTCTCATCTGTTGGCCAGTGGTCTGTAGCCCATCTCTCCCTCTAGCTGCTCTGCTGTAAGTGCCCCCAGGAGAGGCTGACAGTCTGGGTTGAACACTGAGTAAGCGCTCAGTTCTCCTGGTTGACGTGCAGTTGGGTTCCGCAGCCCCTCATACAGCCAGTAGAAGAGAGAGATAAGGAAGAAAGGCAACCCAAATTCCAGCTCAGTGAACAGCCCAAGTAGAACCAGCCAAAGCAACACCTTCAGCAAAGTCAGATTTGTGAAAGCCAGTCGTGTCGAACCAAGCCATTGACCCAGATTGCTCTCCAGCAACCAGTCATCCTAAAAAGTTGGGGAAAGAAGAAATTAAGTTAGCGAACATTGACAAGATGGAATCAAAGTGTATTACTAACTGACATCTACTTGACAAATAGGGCCAGTTTCCCAGACAGCATGCTCAATGACTCTCCAACTAAAGTGTTTATTAGTCCAGGACTAGGCTTAAACTGTGTCCGGGTAACCGGACCATTGTATTTTGAGTATTGAGTTTTAGCCTACCCCCCAATGTTTAGTCCTTGTAGCCTGATAGACAACTGAGATTGGATCTTCTGTTAACTCCTGTGTGTCTGCATCGGCTGTTGATGACTGGCAACTGGCCGACATCAAAGTGCTGCCACTGTCAGATGATGTTTTGGGCTGCTTTTCAGAAGATTCGCTCTTCTTAGCGGCCACATCAGCCCTTCTTCGGGCTCTGAACTCCGCAAGCTTTTGCTCCATATTGTGATCAACTTCTGAGTCATGCGGCAATGAAAGACTGCGTGGCAAAATGTGCACTACAGATAGGAAAGTACTGGCTACTGCCTGGGCTAGCTAGATTTTGAGCGGTCCCAACAAGATTGTTCGTGTGAAATCCCGTCTTCTCAACCGCGGAAATATAGTCTCAAAAGTGTTTTCATGGTAATGCTCGAATTAAATGTTTCACTGTCATAGGAAGTATGAAATATGTTAAATCTGTTTCACTTCAGTTTGTTTACTTTCCTGTTCAGCCAGGCGTACGTAATGACGTAGGTTGAGTCGTAAAGCGCCACTCCCCCACCACCCAGCTGACAAGCCAAACATTTCTTGCTAGACTGTTTGTATTTATTCCACTGATATATTGTAAGTAACCAATACTGCATTTTATTGATTATTTAGGTATTTAATTGCGCATTCCAGAGTAACGCTATTATAGTTTACAATTCAAGCGTTTTTGATAACCGTTAAAGATGGAATAGCTAGCTAGCTAACCTAGCCACAACAGCTAACTAGCTTGCTACAAGCGTACTGTACTCATGTAAAGAATCTCCATCCATAGTTCTGGATTCATTTGATAAGGCTAAATATATAGCTAGATAGATATGCCCATTTATGCAGTTGTCCAATGTTTGTGTAAGTAATGGACACAGGAAAGTATTACTCACTGTACATACACATGCAGAAGATAGCTAAGTGTCTGAAATACACATTATTCATTTCAATATCCACTCTAATATCACACCTTTTTTTCCAGACACATAATGGCCTCAGCTCCAGCCCAGCAGCCCACCCTCACTGTTGAGCAGGCCAGAGGTATGAACAGTCACATACGTTTGGCTTATCTAGGGAAGGGAAAGGGGATACCTAGTCAGTTGCACAACTGAATGCATTCAACTGAAATGTGTCTTCTGCATTTAACCCAACCCCTCTGAATCAGAGAGTTGTGGTGGGCTGCCTTAATCGACGTCCACGGTGCCGGGGAGCAGTTGTTGTTGTGGGTTAACTTCCTTGCCAGCAGGTTTTTTCCACCTTGCCAGCTCAGGGATTTGAACCAGTGGCCTTTCAGTTACTGGCCCACCGCTCTTAACTGCTAGGCTACCTGCCACCCCGCTCTATTACTAATGCCCAGTAGTGGCACAGATCTCTTCACAGTGCTCTTGTGTGTTGCAGTGGTGCTGAGTGAGGTCATCCAGGCCTTCTCTGTGCCAGAGAATGCAGCACGGATGGAGGAGGCACGGGAGAGCGCCTGCAACGACATGGGCAAGATGCTGCAGCTGGTGCTCCCTGTGGCCACCCAGATCCAACAGGAGGTCATCAAGGCGTATGGCTTCAACAACGAGGGAGAGGGTAAGATGCCACTTTGTGAAACCTGTTCGATATAGAATGAAGCGATAGAGAGAGACAATCTATTGTCACTTTTCAGTGTCATTGATTTGTGTGATGACTGAACACCATCTTTTTGCTTCATCATGTTCAGTTCGAGCTCTTTGTGAAATCATGGTGGTCATTGCTTGTTTTAACAATTTTTCAGGTGTCCTTAAATTTGCCCGTCTGGTGAAGATGTATGAAACTCAGGACCCAGAGATAGCAGCCATGTCCGTCAAACTGAAGTCTCTTCTCCTGCCTCCCCTGTCCACTCCACCCATAGGTGGTGCCATCCCAGCTTCCTAAGAAACTTGCCTTGGTCTTTCAGAAGGGACATCTAAAAATGTTACTGGACTTGAAAATGTGTGTGCATGGTCAATTTCATCAAGTACGTGCACGCTTGGAACTCATCTCATTATATTATTTTCAATCAATCGTAGGAAAAAGTGAATTGGTTAACTTACCTAGTTAGTACTAACACCCTGGGATAAAGCACACAAATCAGACCTGTATTGGTTCAAATGAAAACACACGTCAGAATCGCAAGCTCCGACCAGGATGGACAAATGTCATTCTTCAAAGTCAGTTATATTGCATTCCTGGATTTAAATGCAATACACTTCTGACAGCTAACTTAAATCCTTTGTTTATGGATATTTGTTTTCAATATTAGTTTTTTTACATTTAGCCTTAAGTCATTTATACCACGAATTGCTGTTTGAGAGGACTGAATGAAGTGTCATTCCTTGCGATACAGAGTTGTTTGTTTTATTCCATTTTAGTGACCTTTTCAATCTCAGTTGTCACTGCTGGATCAGATATGTATTAATACATGTAAAAAACAATGCTACTCACATTTTTTGTTGAAATGTTATTTTTTAAAAGTGAAAACAGCAACACACCAAGCAGATTAACACAAACTTTATTATTGCAGTAAGGCTTTGGCAACTGTTTCTGTTATTCATCATTCTCATAATACAATATTTAGAGACATTTCACAGTAAAACTCTTCGGGGAGCGGCCCATGCCTCAATTTATACTTTACACATACTGTACAGCTCTTTTATTTCTCATCTTCTCCTTCACACATAAAGACAAACAAGCATTGTAGGATCCAGTCCTTATATGGCCACATTGTTGCTCCTATAATCAAGACAAAACCTCACAGTCCATTCCCATAACGGGAGACAAGTCCCTCTGTTCAATAGTCCACCCTATGGCACTTTTGTTTTCATTCTACATTTAAAACATTGACTTAAAAAATCATTTTCAAACCAATCGTAGATTCAACATATAACTAATTATAAACTGGGTGGTTTGAGCCCTGAATGCTGATTGGCTGAAAGCTGTGGTATATCAGACTGTATACCACAGGTATGACACATTTATTTTTACTGCTCTAATTACATTGGTAACCAGTTTATAATAGCAATAAGACACCTCTGGGGTTTGTGATATATGGCCAAAATACCACAGCTAAGGGCTGTATCCTAGCACTCCGCGTTGCGTCGTGCATAAGAACAGCCCTTAGCCGTGGTATATTGGCCATATACCACACCCCCTCGGGCCTTATTGCTTAATTAGACAGTTCTGTATATACATTTCCTCAAAGGCAGTCACTCTTGGTTGATCCTGGCTGTGATGCAGCGCCACTGAATGAACTCATTCAAGTTGTCCGGCTCCTCTTTGTGCTTTGAGTTGGGGTTCATAGACATTAGAATACTACTTATGGCTACATAAATATCCCAACATTTCTAAGCAAATAAAGTCTGATAAAGAATGTGATACATGGCAGAGAGTGTCCATAACATAACAAATCTTCCAGTTAAAAACTTAGATGACGGAACAGACTTCATATTGTTGATAAAGTGCTTAATTAAAAGGCATCAGAATAAGTGCAACACATTGAACAGCAGTGGCACCCAAAGTGATAAACTTGAAGTCTGATAATTTTTCCTGGTGCAAATTGTCTAGAATATACTGTAGTCCTCAGATAGTCACATTCACAATTTCCTCATCTATGGTGCTCCTTGTGTTCTCATTTCCAATGGCTTCTCATATTCAGTGCAAAATCACCGTGAAATTTAACAAAAAAACTGTGCACCTACAACCAATTGCCGGCAGCAGGAGTCTGCACGGCGAGTGAGGCTGAAGTACAATTCAGTTCCAACAGTTGTCCTACACCCCCTAGTGGTGCGCCAGTCAATTCAGCCAATCAGCTGTCTCAGTTCAGTTGATGATGCAAGAAAACAAACCAGACTGGTGGTGGCGGACCAGTTAGATGTCGAGTTTGGGAGGGAAGCCAGAAGGGAAATGACCTCACATCTCAAAGTGACGAAACATGCTTTCAACGTACCCCAGGACCCTCTGCCAGTCGGGCCCACCTGGTCTCAGCATCTCTTCAACGGTCTATCAAGCAAATAAAACACTGTTAAAGACACCAGCTTAATGGCAACCCAACTGTACCCTCGGCTCTACAAGGACAAACACTACTCACATTAAAAAGGTGGCAACTGAGAAGCGTTAACATGACCAGACTCAGAAAAACAGTCAGACATCAGTGACAGGACATCTACCATTCCACTCACAGTCAAGCTCTTTTTTTATTTTACAGTTTCTTTCCCAACAACTTTCATGGCATGTTTAAATGTGTCTCACCAGTGTGGCTGTGATTCCTACACTTTCCCCTGTCTGGAAGGCTAGGCCCAGGTTCTCACTCTGCACATAACAAAAAATGTAGGTGTGAATAAGGTCATTAAAACAGTTTGTATGTTGTGTGAACTATGGAGTCATATGTGAATGCATTTCTCTTACCTTGTCTCCTGGGCTGAGACTGCTGTATGGGATGTGTGTGGGTAGGTAGGTGTGGTACACAGCACAAAAAGCCAGACCGTCCTCCCAGCTGCTGCTGAAGTTGGTGATCTCAATATTCTATTACAAAAATCAAAAATAGAGGGTTGACTTGTATTGGTGAGATAAGGTGACCAATGGTTTGGTAAATGTGAATGGTACTTTTCTTTGCCACTTCTGACCTTGTAGCCCTGGGTGCGGCTTTGACACCAGCGCAGGAGTGAGTTCCGCCTGGAGCCTCCATGACGTCGTAGCAGCATGCTGAAACCATCCTGAGGTCTGGAAGGTGGATAACGGACAAAAGTTATAGCTAGGTAGATAGAAGGCTTTATTTGGGCATATTTCTTAAGTATCTCTAGAGGGCCCGTCCACTCACCTGAACGAGGACAGTGGGTCTGCGTTCTGGTCGTCCTCCTGTTTTTCTGCCAGACGTTAGCAATTAGTCAAGAGCATAGTAACTTTACATATATAGCAAAATGCACTATACACATTCAAAAGCAAACAGTGGTCTTTGAACTCAAAGTATATGTATGTGTGAATGAAATGAACACACTTGTATAGAAGCTGGACCAGGTGTCCTGTGTTTGCAGTATGCGGTCCATCCTTCTCCCTTTGGCTGGCTCTTCTTTCTGGTAGGAGATAGAGAGAGGAGACAGGCAGGACATTCAGTAGTGGCTATAGTATGCATGACTGTTTCCAAATGGGTCAGAAAATGACCCTTGAATTAGTCCAGGCTAAGACTATATACTGTATAAGCACTATATAAAACACACTCATACATACACTGAACAAAAAATATTAAACGCAACATGTCAAGTTTTGGTCGCGACCGGGAGAACCATTGGGCAGCGCACAATTGGCCCAGCGTCGTCCAGGGTAGGGGAGGGAATGGCCGGCAGGGATGTAGCTCAGTTGGTAGAGCATGGCGTTTGCAACGCCAGGGTTGTGGGTTCGATTCCCACGGGGGGCCAGTATGAAAAAAATAAAAATAGAAATGTATGCACTCACTAACTGTAAGTCGCTCTGGATAAGAGCGTCTGCTGAAATGACTAAAATGTAAAAAGTGATACAAGATTCATTAATGTATGTAAAACTCATAAGATGCATGGTTGGACAGAGGACAAGGACACGCCATGTGTTATAGAGGTCACTGGTGAGGGACAGAAGGTCTGCGTGCCAAGATAGATTGGGGGCCACTTGTGATAATCATAGAAGGTGTACGTGAGGTAATGGCCTGGCTAGGGTGACACAAGTAGATCGGGAGAGCATTATATAAACAGAGATTTTGTTTGGAAGTCATTCAGATGGCAGGAGGCTACGTCCGTACCGCCTGTCATTGTAACCATTAAATAATGTAAACTCTCCATCTGTGTCCCATATTCTCTTACATACTGAACCTCTCGATACAAGAAACTCATCATAACACCCACTCAAGGACATTCAGAGACTTGTCCCGAAGCCACTCCTGCATTGTCTTGGCTGTGTGCTTAGGCTCGTTGTCCTGTTGGAAGGGGAACCTTTGCCCCAGTCTGAGGTCCTGAGCACTCTGGAGCAGCAGGTTTTCATCAAGGATCTCTCTGTACTTTGTTCCGTTCATCTTTCCCTTGATCCTGACTAGTCTCCCAGTACCTGCCTCTGAAAAACCAAAGAGTTCAATCTCGGTTTCATCAGACCAGAGAATCTTGTTTCTCATGGTCTGAGAGTCCTTTAGGTGCCTTTTGGCAAACTCCAAGAAGGCTGTCATGTGCCTTTTACTGAGGAGTGGCTTCCATCTGGCCACTCTACCATAAAGGCCTGATTGGTGGAGTGCTGCAGAGATGGTTATCCTTCTGGAAGGATCTCCCATCTCCACAGATGAATTCTGGAGCTCTGTCAGAGTGACCATTGGATTCTTGTTCACCTCCCTGACCAAGGCCCTTCTCCCCCGATTGCTGAGTTTGGCCGGGCGGCAAGCTCTAGGAAGAGTATTGGTGGTTCCAAATTTCTTCCATTTAAGAATGATAGAGGCCACTGTGTTCTTGGGGACCTTCAATGCTGCAGAAATGTTTTGGTACCCTTCCCCAGATCTGTGCCTTGACACAATCCTGTCTTGGAGCTCTACGGACAATTCCTTCGACCTCATGGCTTGGTTTTTGCTCTGACATGCACGGTCAACTGTGGGACCGTATATAGACAGGTGTGTGCCTTTCCAAATAATGTCCAATCAATTGAATTTACCACAGGTGGACTCCAATCAAGTTGTAGAAACATCAATGGGCTACAAGACCATCGCCAAGCAGCTTGGTGAGATAAGAGCATCTGCTAAGTGACTAAAATGTAAATGTAAGGTGACACAAAAGAACTGTCAATCTCCTCGGCCTGGGGCTCCATGCAAGATCTCACCTCGTGGAGTTGCAATGATCATGAGAACGGTGAGGAATCAGCCCAGAACTACACGGGAGGATCTTGTTAATGATCTCAAGGCAGCTGGGACCATAGTCACCAAGAAAACAATTGGTAACACACTACGCCGTGAAGGACTGAAATCCTGCAGCGCTCGCAAGGTCCCCCTGCTCAAGAAAGCACATATATTTGCCCGTTTGAAGTTTGCCAATTAACATCTGAATGATTTAGAGGAGAACTGGGTGAAAGTGTTGTGGTCAGATGAGACCAAAATGGAGCTCTTTGGCATCAACTCAACTCGCCGTGTTTGGAGGAGGAGGAATGCTGCCTTTGACCCCAAGAACACCATCCCCACCGTCAAACATGGAGGTGGAAACATTATGCTTTGGGGGTGTTTTTCTGCTAAGGGGACAGGACAACTTCACCGCATCAAAGTGACGATGGACGGGGCCATGTACCGTCAAATCTTGGGTGAGAACCTCCTTCCATCAGCCAGGGCATTGAAAATGGGTTGTGGATGGGTATTCCAGCATGACAATGACCCAAAACACACGGCCAAGGCAACAAAGGAGTGGCTCAAGAAGAAGCACATTAATGTCCTGGAGTGGCCTGGCCAGTCTCCAGACCTTAATCCCATAGAAAATCTGTGGAGGGAGCTGAAGGTTTGAGTTGCCAAACGTCAGTCTCGAAACTTTAATGACTTGGAGAAGATCTGCAAAGAGGAGTGGGACAAAATTCCTCCTGAGATGTGTGCAAACCTGGTGGCCAACTACAAGAAACGTCTGACCTCTGTGATTGCCAACAAGGGTTTTGCCACCGAGTACTAAGTCATGTTTTGCAGAGGGGTCAAATACTTATTTCCCTCATTAAAATGCAAATCAATTCATAACATTTTTGACATGCGTTTTTCTGGATTTTTGTTTTGTTATTCTGTCTCTCACTGTTCAAATAAACCTACCATTAAAATTATAGACTGATCATTTCTTTGTCAGTGGGCAAACATACAAAATCAGCAGGGGATCAAATACTTTTTTTCCCCTCACTGTAGCTCCATTCTTGTGTATTTTTATTCCTCGTGTTACTAATTTATTTATTTTATTTTTATTTTATATTACCCTGTGTCATTGGAAAGGGCTCGTAAGCAAGCATTTCATGGTAAAGTCTACACCTGTTGTATTCGGCGCATGTGACATTTGAAACCATTGCAATGAGATGGGATACTCCCAAAAACAACTTGTTGGTTGAATATAAGCGTTACCTTGCATAGAGGCAGTGTTGTACTAGTGGTGGTCTGGGAGCTACCATTCTGTGCAGGGAGAGAGTCAGTGGGCAGGGGAAGTCGAGAGAGGCTCCTGGAACAGATAAGATAGGATTTAGTTGCAACAGATAAATGTAGGACTCTTGTGTCTATATATCAACTGTTGCTCCTACAGAGACACAGGCTAGCTTTCATCAAATATCATAGACTGCTTTCAAAAATAATACTTGTGTCAAAGTGAAATGCTTCAGATAACAACAAACAGATGCTAAACCCCCAAAGTGCTAGTGCAGTGGTCACCAACCTTTTCTGAGTCAAGATCATTTTCTGAGTCAAAAGTTGATCTACCACTCAGATAAAAAATACATTACTTAAAAAATGTAACCAATTAAAAACAGTTCTGTAGCAATGACATTTGTGCAGTAAGCTATAGGCCCAATACATTATCACTGCATACTGGCTATGCTTGAATTGCCCTGCCAATGTTGTTTTTCTCAGACCATTTTGAAATTATATTTCAAAATGTTAGGTATATCATCACACTGGTAGTGGTAAAGAAAATTTGTTGTATTACTTGTGAGACACAGCTGAGTGACCATAACAATTAGCTTTTTTATTTTATTTACTGGACTGATGGCCTGCATCTCCTGGTCATTCTGACTCACCATCCCTCCTCTCTCCCTCTAAACAAAGTGTTGACAGTGCTGAATAACAACTTAAACATGAACTTACTCATAACGAATACAGCATAGAGCTGCTGTTTTTGAGTCTCTAGTCATGGTTTTAAAAGTTTGGAAATTTTACATTATCAACTTTGCTGTGTGTTCAAGGCTTCTTTTTACAGTCTATGGCGCAAGGAAACAATGCAGACACAGTGATCTGAGCTATCTGATTGGCCAGCAGTAGGACTATAAGTGCACTTTTTTTGCTCTCTGGGCCTGCCAGGTAGGCAGAGTTCTACCTTCAGACACATTAAATGGTTCAAAATGGGAACACTTTGCGTTCCCGGTGCTAGGGCTGCTGAATCAAGCGCATCTACCACCAACAGTGCAAAACAAATGTTAAAAAATAGGAACGCAAGGCTTTATCGTTGGGTTTTTTACAGAAATGTTTGGTGATCAACTGGGAAGGCCTTGGCGATCGACCGGTTGGTGACCAATGTGTTAGTGCATCATACAGGCATGACGAGGCTCTCACCTGGAACGCTCTGACATCATCACGATCCTCCGTGGATCTCTTAAGCCGCACCCCTTCTCTCCAGCTGCTACCAAATTCCGTAGGTACGTCTCTGCTACCCCCTTCCCTTTGAGCAGGTTCTCCCCTCCTCTAACAAGCTCCTCAGGAGACTTCCCTCCCATCTTAACATCCACTCCCTCACTATTTATTATTTTCTCTCCTTCCACTTCTCTTTCTGAATCCTCTCTTTGTTTCCCATCCAGCGCCTCCACCGCGTTTATGTCTTCACCAGTGTCTTCACCAGCCGGCCTCTCCTCCGTGTCTCTTCCCTCCATCTCTCTGTGACTGTGTGAGTCCTTCCCTCTCTCTGTCTGCATGTGTCTGAGTGTGTCCAGCTCAGCCCTGGTATGTTGGTGCTCCAGGGTGAGAGCAGACAGTCTGTGACAGGCCTCTCTGTGTTCAGCTCTCAAGCTCTCCAGTTCCCGGTCTGTGTCCTGCTGTCTGCAGTGGGCCTGGTCCAGCTGGCCCTCCACGTCCCCGTGGCTCTCTCTGAGCGTGCCCATAGTCTCCTCCGCTTCAATGCGCAGCCGGTCGGCCACAGACACCGCCACCTGCAGATCACACTGGAACTGGTGCCACTCAGCTCGCTCAGTCTGCCAGAGAGCGAGAGAGAGAAATAAATAATCATTTACATATAAAGACACAATTCAATGTCCATCCATCTCTATCAGAGAGTGAGACAACCAGACAGATTGAGAGAGAGAGATAGAGTTAAATATTCTGTACACTCAAACCAGAGCCATACATTTGTGTGGAGAATGTAAGAGAGTGAGTTGACTCATTGTATCAGGGAATACAGAGTGTACAAACATTAGGAATACCTTCCTAATATTGATTTGCACCTTTTGCCCTCAGAACAGCCTAAATTCGTCTGGGCATGGACTCTACAAAGTGTCGAAAGCGTTCCACAAGAATGCTGGCCCATGTTGACCCCAACGGTTCCCACAGTTATCAAGTTGGCTGGATGTCCTTTTGGATGGTGGACCATTCTTGATACACCCGGGAAATTGTTGAGTGTGAAAAACCCAGCAGCGCTGCAGTTCACACTCAAACCGGTACGCCTGGCACCTACTACCACACCCCGTTCAAAGGCACTTAAATCATTTGACTTGCCCATTCACCCTCCGAATGGCACACATACACATTCCATATCTCAATTGTCTCAAGGCTTAAAAAAACCTTCTTTAACCTGTCTCCTCTCCTTCATTTACATTTTAGTCATTTAGCAGACGCGCTTATCCAGAGCAACTTACAGTTAGTGAGTGCATACATTTTCATACTACACTGATTGAAGTGGTTTTAACAAGTGACATCAATAAGGGATCATAGCTCTCACCTGGATTCACTTGGTCAGTCTGTCATGGAAAGAGCAGTTCCTAATGTTTTGTACACTCAGTTTATATTTAATATCATCTTTAATATCATGGGTGGGTCATATAGAAGAGGCAGGGGAACTCAAAGGGGAGAAGAAGTAGAGGTGGTATCATTTTACATCTAGGCCAGCAGACAGACATGCATACTGCCATATGTATCAGAAAATCAATAGCGCTGTTAATACAGTAAACATGTCTAAAACAGGGATTTTGCATTGGTCAAAAGAAAAGTTAAACAACCTAGCTAACCGATTCAGGTGAACACTTCAATAAAGTATGCCAGGAATCGCTGCAATGTTCCCTGTGTACAGTTAAATCACAGTAATCTAGAGATAGAGGGACAACCTCCCATATTGAATGTCAGGGCCATCACACTGCTTATCACTGGCTCATTTACAGTAGTTGTTGTACAATGTTTGCAGATGGTGGAGGCCGACTGTGATATTCTCAAACAGAACCTCCTAGAAAAAAAAACCCACTGATAATGGTTGCTTAGGTTAGCACACATATTGAGAAACCCTGCCTTCCACAAACCCTGTGACTTGCCTGAACATTGCACTTACTTACTGCTTGAATGAAATCCCAAGTCTTAGGGCTCGATGAAATCGTATTGCGGAAGATCTATGGTATAGGGTGATTGAAATGTAATCTCTAAAAGTCTAAGCCGTTGGCACAAAACTACCTCCATACTTCCATACATTTGTATATGTTACCTTCAGTGGAGTCCTTTGTGGCGGTCGTAGAGCAAAATAGATAACACCATCGTGTTCGTGAGAGTCTCCCCTTTCCGTAGACTGGTCATAACAGTTTGTAGGTCGTGATTTTCGGGATGTCTCATGGTCTGACAAACACTACTGTAGCTCGGCCCATGCAAAAAACCTGATATCGCTAGCTTAAACTGCCGGATTTTGATGGGGATTTTTTTATTATGTTACTTGACGCACTGGTGAGTCGATCGACTCTTAAAGGCAAAGTTTCCGTTTTCACGGAAACTGCATTCACGGTAAACGCTGCATATGTTGGCTCAATCGGAAATCACGTTCAAATTTCAATCGCGCTATACCGCGGATCTTCCGATTGAATCGAGCCCTAAACAGAGCACAACACAGCACAACACAGGTAGAGAAGGGAAAAAGCAATCCACTTCAAAGTAATAGGGATACAGTGGGGGGAAAAAGTATTTAGTCAGCCACCAATTGTGCAAGTTCTCCCACTTAAAAAGATGAGAGAGGCCTGTAATTTTCATCATAGGTACACGTCAACTATGACAGACAAAATGAGAAAAAAAAATCCAGAAAATCACATTGTAGGATTTTTAATGAATTTATTTGCAAATTATGGTGGAAAATAAGTATTTGGTCAATAACAAAAGTTTCTCAATACTTTGTTATATACCCTTTGTTGGCAATGACACAGGTCAAACGTTTTCTGTAAGTCTTCACAAGGTTTTCACACACTGTTGCTGGTATTTTGGCCCATTCCTCCATGCAGATCTCCTCTAGAGCAGTGATGTTTTGGGGCTGTCGCTGGGCAACACGGACTTTCAACTCCCTCCAAAGATTTTCTATGGGGTTGAGATCTGGAGACTGGCTAGGCCACTCCAGGACCTTGAAATGCTTCTTACGAAGCCACTCCTTCGTTGCCCGGGCGGTGTGTTTGGGATCATTGTCATGCTGAAAGACCCAGCCACGTTTCATCTTCAATGCCCTTGCTGATGGAAGGAGGTTTTCACTCAAAATCTCACGATACATGGCCCCATTCATTCTTTCCTTTACACGGATCAGGCGTCCTGGTCCCTTTGCAGAAAAACAGCCCCAAAGCATGATGTTTCCACCCCCATGCTTCACAGTAGGTATGGTGTTCTTTGGATGCAACTCAGCATTCTTTGTCCTCCAAACACGACAAGTTGAGTTTTTACCAAAAAGTTCTATTTTGGTTTCATCTGACCATATGACATTCTCCCAATCCTCTTCTGGATCATCCAAATGCACTCTAGCAAACTTCAGACGGGCCTGGACATGTACTGGCTTAAGCAGGGGGACACATCTTGCACTGCAGGATTTGAGTCCCTGGCGGCGTAGTGTGTTACTGATGGTAGGCTATGTTACTTTGGTCCCAGCTCTCTGCAGGTCATTCACTAGGTCTCCCTGTGTGGTTCTGGGATTTTTGCTCACCGTTCTTGTGATCATTATACCCCACGGGGTGAGATCTTGCGTGGAGCCCCAGATCGAGGGAGATTATCAGTGGTCTTGTATGTCTTCCATTTCCTAATAATTGCTCCCACAGTTGATTTCTTCAAACCAAGCTGCTTACCTATTGCAGATTCAGTCTTCCCAGCCTGGTGCAGGTCTACAATTTTGTTTCTGGTGTCCTTTGACAGCTCTTTGGTCTTGGCCATAGTGGAGTTTGGAGTGTGACTGTTTGAGGTTGTGGACAGGTGTCTTTTATACTGATAACAAGTTCAAACAGGTGCCATTAATACAGGTAACGAGTGGAGGACAGAGGAGCCTCTTAAAGAAGAAGTTACAGGTCTGTGAGAGCCAGAAATCTTGCTTGTTTGTAGGTGACCAAATACTTATTTTTTTCCACCATAATTTGCAAATAAATTCATTAAACATCCTACAATGTGATTTTCTGGAAAAAATTTCTCAATTTGTCTGTCGTAGTTGACGTGTACCTATGATGAAAATTACAGGCCTCTCTCATCTTTTTAAGTGGGAGAACTTGCACAATTGGTGGCTGACTAAATACTTTTTTTCCCCATTGTATACTTGTGTCTGTGTGTGTGTGTGTGTGTGTGTGTGTACGTGTGTGGTCTTTGAAACAATTTTGAGGATTTCCTCCATCTATCCCTGTATCTGCAGTGCTGAGGGAGAAAGAGAGGGAATGCAGTGGGGAAGAGAAGGGAGGGGCGTCTGACTCACCCTCAGTGTGTCCTTCAGGCTGCGCACCTCCTCCACCAGCTCCTCTCTCTCCACCATCAACCGCCTCAGCAGCTCTGACACACACACACACAAACACACGAAACACATGGCACACAGATCAAGACAAATGTAAGGACATGTATGCACACTGTCAAGTTGAGACAAGACAAACAATTATGAATCGATTGGGTTACTACGGCTATGCAGATGCGGAGACCTTACCGACTGCTCCTGCTGGTGCGTCCAGGCCCGGACTGAGCCCCAGTGTGGACCTGTGATGTTCCAGCAGGTTGAGCAGAGCCAGGGCCATCTCCTCCCTAGCCCGCACCGGCTCTGCCTGGGGCTCCAGACCACTGTCCCGCTCCTGCCAGCTCTGCTCCAAAGGGCTACCATCTGACGGAGGCCCCTGGCCTTGGGACACAGGACTGCTGCTGTGGTTGTTGTGGCTGCTGGAGCACCTCACCGTTTGCCTTCCACCGTCCATTTCCACCCCCGTCCCCTGCGGCAATGCACTGCTCTCTAGGCTAATCACGGCCCATTCTGGCGGGACAGACAGCGTGTAGCTCCAATTGGAGTTGGTGGAGGGGGAGGCTCCGCCCTGGCAGACGATGCCCCGGGTGGCCCCAGAGGACGGTGTCCCCTGCTGCAACAGCTGAGCCGCGGCTGGAGCCAAGGCCAGAGCTGCAGCCAGGTCAGAATCAGAGGGGGAGGAGGGAGGAGTGTGGAACAGATCTAAATGAGACCCTGGAAAGAGAGAGAGAGAGGGAGTGGAGAGGGGGAGAGAGTGGAGTGGGGGAGAGAGGGGGATTAAAGAAATATGAGATAGGGGAAAGGAGAGGAGGGAAGAGGAAGAACAGAAAAGAGAGAGAGAGAACTGCTGTCCTAAGCTATTTTCTGTCTATAAAAACTACACAGGATACCAGAGTTGGGTGTGGCTATAGGAGGATGCCTGCACTTTGATGCAGAATATGCATATATAAACAGTCAATGCCCTTCCTCTCTCTCACACAGTCCCTGGTAGGCTGATAGTCACTGCAGAGCCTGTCATGCCAACGCCTTGGTACATTAACAACCACTCATCCCCGAGTGGCCATATCTAGAGACACACTCCCTCACTGAATCTAGACGCAGCATCTCTTGCTGCTTGCAGTCAATTGATTTACATGCGAAACACATCCACCATTTCATACTCTACTGCATACTCACACACACACACACACACACACACACACACACACACACACACACAGACAGATACAGTTACACAGGTCCCTAAGCCTCTAGTGTCTCATGTTCCCCCTCCCTGTCCTTGTGTTGGGCTGCAGAATTCTGCAGACTCATCATTCACCTAGCACAGCCTGATGTATTGCATGTGCCTGGCGGAGCGCACACAGTATCCAGGGAGATATTCTCACCCCAGTCTGAGTCTGTTTCCAGCCTAATGAAAACAGCTAGAAAGGATAGGAACGGCCAGGGTTTTAAACAGGTGTTTAGGGAAGGAAGTGTGTGTGTGTGTCAGAAAAAGAAGACGTCAGCAATGCTACAATAGAGAATCACAGCTAGACAGATCGAGAAGGGGAGGTATAAAGATAATGAACAAATTGTGTAAGAGTACAAACAGCTTGAAAGGAAATATTGTGGAAACAGGAAGAGAATGTTCTAATCAGAGTTACTGTCAGAGAGTTTCATATAATGAAATGTGACAATGAGTGTGTGTGTGTGTGTACGTTCATGTAGGGAACCTGTAGGGCCATGGCTGTCCTTGCCAGCGACGTTACCCATGATGCAGCAGGTGCAGAGTGGAAGCAACTTGACAGTGTGACCCAGCACCCCTCACTCTCCCCTCCGGTGCGCTGTCTTAGGTCCACCGCAGAGTGGACAGGCAGTAATACACCTAGAAGTACAGAGAACGCTCAGTCCATGAATCTTTTAACACAAATATGGCTAACACTGCTAAATTCTCCTTTAATAGAGTAGGTACGCTCTGACTACAGTGGCAAACCATGTTTGTTGACAAGTGATCCGGAGCAATGACTCATACTTAAAATGCTGCAAGCTAATTGAGCACAAGGATGACTGCTGGGATGTGCATTTCCCTGCAGGATGTACACCAACATCATGTCCAGTGTAGCATTAGATTAATAACATAAGTAGGTGATGGAGAGAGAACCTGACAGTCCCCCCAGGGTTTTATGTGGAATTAATATTAATAAATTGCTCGATCAACGGAAAGGCAGCTGCTTAGGTTTATCCACTGGTGTGTGGTCTTCCAGAACAAATACCTGCTAAATACAAGTGTCTAATTGTTAGGCATGGCTATAAGGCTACAGCAAACTCTGAACATGTGTAGACACATTAGACAGCAGATCCTGAATGAAAGAAACCCTGATATGATATACTGACTCTGGTTCTGTACAAGGCTATAAGATAGAGAGGGATATGCAATAACAAGACACCGAAATGCAATACTATTAGTGTCTATCTCTGCACAAAAAATATCGCCGTGCGAGCTGCTGGAAGCAGGCAAATACCGTAGGCTATTGCAACGCAATCAACCACCCACCTTGATATCCCCACTTACCGCCCGATAAAATACTCCAGTTGTCTCAATCTTTTTCTGCTTTCTGCCTCACCGCATTTGTCTCCGTTTCCCCCTATTTTTGTATATTCAATAGTCAGAGACAGGCTTGAGGCAGTTTCCTGCTGTTGTTGAAACGCGAGTGTAGGGGAGAGACCGCTACACCACAGAGCCGCCCAAGATAATGTTGGGTCCTGCATGGAACTCGATTATAATGCGGCAAACTGGGAAAAGAACAGAGGGATGGACTAAGCTGCTCGGTGCAAGGTAGCCTACTGTCCTTCTGCAAAAGTTGTATCCCAGAGCACAGGCTCATTTATTTAACTGGAAATGTGTTTATAAATAGGTCCAAGTTTAGAGTGGTTGAGCACGCAGGATATCATGAATTGTGATGATATTCAGGATGAGAATGACAAATGCAGTCCAAGGATGCATGTAGCCTGGTCTCGTAGACTAGTAACATAGTAAACGTAAACCCGAGAAACTACATATAGTATGATATGTTACGTTTTAGGCTTGGACGGTATACCCTAGCCTATACCATTTACCATATTTGGAAATAACCACAGGATGGTTTTTCAATACCATCAATACATTTGAAACTATTTAGTTTACGTTTTTCAATGAATTCTTATATTTGTAGATAATTTAAGTAAATACCTGCAGTCATCTTGTGCATTACTTTAGAAGATAAAGCAGATCAGAAAATGGAGTGCAACTGAAGCACAAAATGAATCTAAGGCTGAGCAGAAATTACAAGAAGAAGCATTTTAGATCTGCCTTTACAAAACGCAGCAAAACGCAAAAAAAAAATATATGCACTCACTAACTGTAAGTCGCTCTGGATAAGAGCGTCTGCTAAATGACTAAAATGTAAAATATTTCTTATGTGTTTTATATTTCTTTCCTGCGTGAAAAATGCAGAATTCTGCATTAGTGCAACCCCTAAGTTTAACTTGCTAGTGATCTAAGTAAGTAGCTAAATTAATAAGGTGACGGGGCATCATATTGTGTTAGCTTTCTGCCATGTTTGAGAAGTCAAAGCCCTTTGGATGAGTTATTGGATTTCCTGTGCAATTACTTGTGCTAATTTTATTAGCATTCTGGTAATAGATGCCCAGTGGGCTTTTTATTATATTTTATGGCGCCCCCTTGTGTACTAAACCGGTAATACCATAAATCCCAGGATGAAAGACGGAAGGTATGATGATATGAAAATCTGGATACTGCCCAACCCTACTAAAGGGGTTATGTCATAAACCCTCAAAGTTCCATAATGGGGCCAAAATGTCAGCCATCTTGGTCAGGGAGAAATCCAGAACCAGTCTAATTGGAATGAATGGCAGTAGAGGCATAGGTGATGCATTTTCTGCTTTTACTTATGCAGGAAAATAAAAGTAAGGCATGTGATTTATCAGAAATGGTGTAATGGAATTATAGGCAACCTAAAATATAATCATATAATTGAAAATACACTTTATACAGGTTTTATACACATTGTCTGAACAAGTAGCCTCTATGATATATGTAAACAGATGATAAATGTCTCAATTTTGTTTTCTTGGAAAGCGGTGAGTACATGATGATACAATATCAGTACTTGTTGCATTTACAACTTGTCTAAGTCCTATCATCAACTGATTTGAGCCAGTGTATGGCTGTGTATTGACTGCATTGTTTGAATGGAATGTTGGGATATTGGCAGTTAATTTGAAAAATTAATGGAGTCATTCGTCTTAAACCGGCTGGCTAGCTAGCCGACAAACATATACTGTACAGTGCAGATAAATTCTCCACATTCATTGTTTTACACAACATCTTATCACAGCACTGGCAAACCATGGAGACAGAATCATTAGATTATTTGTTTTGGTACTGTCCACTTGTTTTTGGTCACAGGTCCAGGAATGGCTGAAGGATTGCAATATTTACCTGGAGCTAACCCTGCAGATAGCACTAGTGTGATCTGAAAAGTCATAGTCAATCGATCAATAATATAATAATACTTTTAGCAAAAATTTTCTATTTACAATCTGTAGAAACAATGAGAATAGAAGGGTTCAGAACTTTTGTGAAACATCACAGTACAGTTGATAAATATATGGCAAGTAGAAATCCAATATGGATGGTGTTAAGAGATAGATGGGAGGGATTGAATGGAACTGAAGGTTGGGACTAATAACAACACAATAACTAGTGTAAAACATACTGTGTCCATAATAAGTATATAGGTTGAGAACTTTTGTGAAAGAGCACAGTTTGGGGGTTATGGCATGTAGAGGGAAACCGGATGGACATCATGAAAATGATCGTTGAGGATAGAGGAAGTTCAGGAGTAAAAACAAACAAAATAGAATTATTGTAAAATTGACTGTGTCCATAAAATTTATATAGTATGTATAAACTGGAAGTAGAGGCCTAAGCGTTGTTGTTTACTCCAATTAGGGGAGGGGTGGTGGGGTTGGAAAGTAATAAAGTAATATCTTTTTTTTAAAGGATATGTGTATATAAATTATATGTATGTATATGTATTTATATGTATGTATGTGTATTTATATGTATGTATGTGTATATATATGTATGTATGTGAAAAAACATATGGGGGATTGGAAGTGATGCAGACAATTACATTGATGGAGGTTACAATCTATCTGCAATATTAAAGCTGATCTACCCCCTCAGAACTTTCAGGGTGTCCCTGACAATATGGTTGCGTTCACCTGCTCAGACGTTGCATGCATTAACCAATGATTGCATGCCACTTCATTGACTATGCTGTCGGGCACCATATTGCTATAAAATAGGTTTTCATCAAGGATCTCTCTGTACTTTGCTCCGTTCATCTTTTCCTCGATCCTGACTAGTCTCCCAGTCCCTGCTGCTGAAAAACATCCCCACAGCATGATGCTGCCACCACCATGCTTCACCTTAGGGATGATGCCAGATTTCCTCCAGACGTGACGCTTGGCATTCAGGCCAAAGAGTTCAATCTTGGTTTCATCAGACCAGAGAATCTTGTTTCTCATGGTCTGAGAGTCTTTAGGTGCCTGTTGGCAAACTCCAAGCGGGCTGTCATGTGCCTTTTACTGAGGAGTGGCTTCCGTCTGGCCACTCTACCATAAAGGTCTGATTGGTGGAGTGCTGCAGAGATGGTTGTCCTTCTGGGAGGTTCTCCCATCTCCACAGAGGAACTCTAGAGATCTGTCAGAGTGACCATTGGGTTCTTAGTCACCTCCCTGACCAAGGCTCTTCTCCCCCGATTGCTCAGTTTGGTTGGGCGGCCAGCTCTAGGAAGAGTCTTGGTGGAACCAAACTTCTTCCATTTAAGAATTATGGAGGCCACTGTGTTCTTGGGGACCTTCAATGCTGCAGTAATTTTTTGGTACCCTTCCCCAGATCTGTGCCTAGACACAATCCTGTCTTGGAGCTCTACGGACAATTCCTTCAACCTCATGGCTTGGTTTTTACTCTGACATTTACATTTTAGTCATTTAGCAGACACTCTTATCCAGAGCGACTTACAGTTAGTGAGTGCATACATTTTTTCATACTGGCCCCCCGTGGGAAACAAACCCACAACCCTGGCATTGCAAGCGCCATGGTCTACCAACTGAGCTACAGGGGACCTTATATAGACAGGTGTATGCCTTTCCAAATCATGTCCAATCAATTGAATTTACCACAGGTGGACTCCAATCAAGTTGTAGAAACATCTCAAGGATGATCAATGGAAACAGGATGCACCTGAGCTCAATTTTGAGACTCATAGCAAAGGGTCTGAATACTTATGTAAATAAGGTATTTCTGTTTTTGTTGTTTTTCTACATTTGCAAAAAATTCTAAAAACCTGTTTTTGCTTTGTCATTATGGGGTATTGTGTGTAAATTGCTGAGGAAAAAAATATATTTAATTGATTTTAGAATAAGGCTGTAACGTAACAAAATGTGGAAAAAGTAAAGGGGTCTGAATACTCTCCGAATGTACTGTACGTTAACTATGCACTATATAATTTTGGTTCAGTAGTTATCCGTTTTGAGCAGTTTAATTAAGTGATAGTTAATTGTGTTGTTAACAAATGATCATATCAAAATAAAGTGAATAATGTATCCAAATGGAAAGTGTGATTTGGTGCAGTGAACAAGTGACTTTGTGAATTTGTTTGTTGTACTCAGTCAAATGAAAATGTCCTTAGAGTTTTGAAACATGAGCTATTTTGATAGAATAAGAATAAAATCATGTTGAAATGACAGAAATTACACCCTTGATGAATTAGTGAAACAAATTTCACAAGGTATGTGTACTCAAAGATTTGTGTAAGGTCTCCATGAGCCGTATTGAGAAGATCCAATGAGTGTTCCCCCAGATCTTTTAAATGTGGGAAAAAAAACTGGTTTTAAATCAAATCAGGATGAACACACATCGGTTTTAAATCACACACACACACACACACACACACACACACACACACACACACACACACACACACACACACACACATACATACCAACATGTATAAACTTTGTTTACCTTTTCATATTTCAGTCATATCTCAGCAATTAGAACATTTTATAAAAAACAATGATGGGGTGTTTAAAAAATGTACAACCCAGTTGGTGTATCTTATACAAATAAAAACATATCTTTAATAAAAAAATAAAAATAATAACCAACAGTGGGAAAATGTACTTACAGCTGTCTATAGTTGTTTTCTTCTCAGTGATGGAATAGAGTTGGCTGAATGGATCCTCTCCAAGAGTCAATGCTCAAGATGTCTGCTGTGATGTCAGTAGTTGTGATCTTAATAATGGTGCTTTATTTATACATCATTGACCTTTGACACACCCCTCACAAGTTCAAGCATTCTCTCTGGTAAAGGAAAATGGTATATGCCCAGACACCACCCTGACCTCGCATGCCCAGACGCGACCCCCATACATTAGCACACACACACACACACACATACACAGCCAATTACAGTGAGGGAAAAAAGTATTTGATCCCCTGTTGATTTTGTACATTTGCCCACTGACAAAGACATGATTAGTCTATAATTTAAATGGTAGGTTTATTTGAACGGTGAGAGACAGAATAACAACAAAAAAGTCCAGAAAAACGCATGTCAAAAATGTAATAAATTGATTGCCATTTTAATGAGGGAAATAAGTATTTGACCCCTCTGCAAAACATGACTTGGTACTTGGTGGCAAAACCCTTGTTGGCAATCACAGAGGTCAGACGTTTCTTGCAGTTGGCCACCAGGTTTGCACACAACTCAGGAGGGATTTTGTCCCACTCCTCTTTGCAGATCTTCTCCAAGTCATTAAGGTTTTCGAGGATGACGTTTGGCAACTCAAACCTTCAGCTCCCTCCACAGATTTTCTATGGGATTAAGATCTGGAGACTGGCCAGGCCACACCAGGACCTTAATGTGCTTCTTCTTGAGCCACTCCTTTGTTGCCTTGGCCGTGTGTTTTGGGTCATTGTCATGCTGGAATACCCATCCACAACCCATTTTCAATGCCCTGGCTGAGGGAAGGAGGTTCTCACACAAGATTTGACGGTACATGGCCCTGTCCATCATCCCTTTGATGCGGTGAAGTTGTCCTGTCCCCTTAGCAGAAAAACACCCCCAAAGCATAATGTTTCCACCTCCATGTTTGACGGTGGGGATGGTGTTCTTGGGGTCATAGGCAGCATTCCTCCTCCTCCAAACACGGTGAGTTGAGTTGATGCCAAAGAGCTCCATTTTGGTCTCATCTGACCACAACACTTCCACCCAGTTCTCCTCTGAATCATTCAGATGTTCATTGACAAACTTCAGACGAGCCTGTATATGTGCTTTCTTGAGCAGGGGGACCTTGCGGGAGCAGGGGGACCTTGCGGGGACCTTACGATCTTTGTCCCAATGTGCAGTTGCAAACCGTAGTCTGGCTTTTTTATGGCGGTTTTGGACCTTGCTGAGCGGCCTTTCAGGTTATGTCGATATAGGATTCGTTTTACTGTGGATATAGATACTTTTGTACCTGTTTCCTCCAGCATCTTCACAAGGTCCTTTTCTGTTGTTCTGGGATTGATTTTCACTTTTCGCACCAAAGTACGTTCATCTCTAGGAGACAGAACGTGTCTCCTTCCTGAGCGGTATGGCGGCTGTGTGGTCCCATGGTGTTTATACTTGCGTACTATTGTTTGTACAGATGAACGTGGTACCTTCAGGTGTTTGAAAATTGCTCCCAAGGATGAACCAGACTTGTGGAGGTCTACAATTTATTTTCTGAGGTCTTGGCTGATTTCTTTTGATTTTCCCATGATGTCAAGAAAAGAGGCACTGAGTTTGAAGGTAGGCCTTGAAATACATCCACAGGTACACCTCCAATTGACCCAAATGATGTCAATTAGCCTATCAGAAGCTTCTAAAGCCATGACATAATTTTCTGGAATTTTCCAAGCTGTTTAAAGGCACAGTCAACTTAGTGTATGTAAACTTCTGACCCACTAGAATTGTGATACAGTGAATTATAAGTGAAATAATCTGTCTGTAAACAATTGTTGGAAAATTTACTTGTGTCATGCACAAATTACAATGAGGGAAAAAAGTATTTGATCCCCTGCTGATTTTGTACGTTTGCCCACTGACAAAGAAATTATCAGTCTATAATTTTAATGGTAGGTTTATTTGAACAGTGAGAGACTTGTTTTTCAACCACTCCACAAATTTCTTGTTAACAAACTATAGTTTTGGAAAGTCGGTGAGAACATCTACAGTGAGAGAAAAAAGTATTTGATCCCCTGCTGATTTGCATTTAAAATTATAGACTGATTATGTCTTTGTCAGTGGGCAAACGTACAAAATCAGCAGGGGATCAAATACTTTTTTCCCTCACTGTAGATGTTCTCACCGACTTTCCAAAACTATAGTTTGTTAACAAGAAATTTGTGGAGTGGTTGAAAAACAAGTTTTAATGACTCCAACCTAAGTGTATGCAAACTTCCGACTTCAACTGTACCAGTCAAAAGTTTGGACACACCTACTCATTCCAGAGTTTTTCTTTTTTTTTAAAACTATTTTCTACATTGTAGAATAATAGTGAAGACATCACAACTATGAAATAACACATATGGAATCATGTAGTAACCAAAAAAGTGTTAAACAAATTATATTTGAGATTCCTCAAATAGCCACCATTTGCCTTGATGACAGCTTTGCATGACAGCTGTTGTGATCTTTGGGTTCAGCTGAGACTGTTCTATCATGTAACAGGTAAATCTGCATGGTCTTCACTGGCAGACCTTGGTATTACTCTCTTATTTTGGATTGGATCAGAACCAGGGATCAATAGTGCTATCATATAGTCTGTGTCATTGGTCATGTTTCTAGACTGCTCACCCAACAAATTATTACAACATAAACAATAGACACATGAGGAATACATTTTATTCAGTCTCTCAATGCCTCCTCCATTGAAAAACAATACCTCACTTAGTGCAATTTCATTCTTACACCTGTCATGTGAAACCCCCTTTACCCCGGTGCACATGATTCGGACCCACAATGCATTATGAATCTGTTTTTTTGTCAGTTAAGATGCAAATGACTCTTTAACAAAACTCATACAAAGTGATGATTGTTTTGATGACAAAATGCATATTCAAAAAGTACACTAATAAAGCAAGTACAAGATCTCACCACAGTATAGAGAGAACCATGTTCACAGTCCTGCTATAGGACACTTAACCCTTCATAGTCAATGTCTTTGAGACCCACTGACATTTAAATGGACCAGTTTAACGTTGTCCATCAAAGAGCAGGTAAAGTTCTTCATATGACTTCAGTCCTCCAGTCACACGCAATGACCAGCCCACACTGTCCATCTGTACTGCATGTCAAGGCTATAAGTTAAACTAGACATCAATGCTGAAGAGAGATAGAATGAGACACGGATGTAGGGGAAGAAGCCATGCATCTTGTTCCATCTGTTCATCCTCTCCTTCACCGGAGCACACGGGCGCAGGGTATAACCTGGCACCGACGGAGATGGCGGCCTCGCGACTAGCTCTTAGGAAACCTTGCAGTATTTTGTTTTTTTATGTATAATTTTTTACATTATTAGCTCAGAAAGTGTTTTGCATCATTACATACAGCCGGGAAAAACTATTGGATATCAGAGCGGCGGTAACTCACCAGCATTACGACCAGGAATATGACTTTCCCGAAGCAGATCCTTTGTTTCCTCTCCCCAGGGCAACTGAACTGATTCCAGCGGCTGACCCAAAACATCGCCGGCGGAGGAGAGGCACTCGGAGCGGCCTGCTGGTCCGACTTAGGAGGCGCGCACACCACCCACCGCTTCCAAGTATTCTACTCGCTAATGTTAAATCTTTGGTTAACAAAGTCGACGAACTACGGGTAAGGATTTCTTTCCAGAGAGACATCAAGGCCTGTAACATACTCTGTTTCATGGAAACAAGGCTCTCTTGGGATATTCTGTCGGAATCGGTCCAGCCAGATGGGTTCTCAGTTCATCGCGCAGACAGAAATAAATATCTCTCCGGGAAGCAGAAGGGCGGAGGTGTGTGTTTCATGATTAACGACTCGTGGTGTAATTGTAGTAACATAGAGGAACTCGATTCCTTCTGTTCACCCGACCTAGAATATCTCACAATCAAATGCTGACCGTATTATCTCCCAAGATAATTTTCTTCGGTTACAGTCACGGCCGTGGATATCCCCCCTCAAGCCGATACCACGACGGCCCTCAAATAACTTCACTGGACCTTATGCAAACTGGAAACCACATATCTTGAGGCTGCATTTATTGTAGGCGAGAATTTTAACAAAGCAAATTTGAGGACTAGGCTGCCGAAGTTCTATCAACATATCGACTGTTGTACTCGCGCTGCTAAAATCCTCAACCATTGCTATTCAAACTTCCGGGATGGTTATAAGGCCCTCCCCTGCCCTCCCTTCCTATAGGCAGAAACTCCAACAGGAAGTACCCATGCTAAGGACTATTCAACGCTGGTCTGACCAATCGGAATCCATGCTTCAAGATTGTTTTGATCACGTGGACTGGGATATGTTCCGGGTAGCTTCCGAAAATAATTTAGACATATACACTGAAACAGTGACTGAGTTTATCAGGAAGTGTATAAGTGATATTGTGCCCACTGTGACTATTAAAACCTACCCTAACCAGAAACCGTGGATACACGGCAGCATTCGCACAAATCTGAAAGCGCGAACCACCGCATTCAACCATGGCAAGGTGACAGGGAATATGGCAGAATACAAACAGTGTAGCTACTCACTCCGCAAGGCAATTAAACTGGCAAAACATCAGTATAGAGACAAAGTGGAGTCGCAATTCAACGGCTCAGACACGAGACGTATGTGGCAGGGTCTACAGACAATCATGGACTACAAAAATAAAACCAGCCACGTCGCCGACACCGACGTCTCGCTTCCAGACAAGCTAAACACCTTCTTCGCCTGCTTTGAGGATAACACAGTGCCACTGACGAGGCCCACTACCAAGGACTGTGGCCTCTCCTTCTCCATGGCCAACTTGATTAAGACATTTAAGCATGTTAACCCCCGCAAGGCTGCCGGCCCAGACGGCATCCTTAGCCGCGTCCTCAGAGCATGCGCAGACCAGCTGGCTGGTGTGTTTATGGACATATTCAATCTTTCCCTTTCCCAGTCTGCTGTTCCCACATGCTTCAAGAGGGCCACCATTGTTCCTGTATCCAAGAAAGCAAAGGTAACTGAACTAAATGACTATCGCCCTGTAGCACTCACCTCTGTCATCATGAAGTGCTTTGAGAGACTAGTCAAGGATCATATCACCTCTACCTTACCCTAGACCCACTTCAATTTGCTTACCGCCCCAATAGATCCACAGACGATGCAATTGCCATCACACTGCACACCTCCCTATCCCATCTGGACAAGAGGAATACCTATGTAAGAATGCTGTTCATTGACTATAGCTCAGCATTCAACACCATAGTACCCTCCAAGCTCATCATTAAGCTCGAGGCCCTGGGTCTGAACCCTGCCCTGTGCAACTGGGTCCTGGACTTCCTGACGGGCCGCCCCCAGGTGGTGAAAGTAGGAAACAATATCTCCATTTCGCTGATCCTCAACACTGGGGGCCCACAAGGGTGCGTGCTCAGCCCCCTCCTGTACTCCCTGTTCACATGACTGTGTGGCCAAGCACGCCTCCAACTCAATCATCAAGTTTGCAGACAACACAACAGTAGTAGGCTTGATTACCAACAATGACGAGACCGCCTACAGGGAGGAGGTGAGGGCTCTGGAAGTGTGGTGCCAGGAAAATAACCTCTCACTCAACATCAACAAAACAAAGGAGATGATCGTGGACTTCAGGAAACAGCAGAGGGTGCACCCCCCTATCCACATCGACGGGACCGCAGTGGAGAAGGTGGAAAGCTTCAAGTTCCTTGGCGTACACATCACAGACAAACTGAAATGGTCCACCAACGCAGACAGTGTGGTGAAGAAGGCGCAACAGAGCCTCTTCAACCTCAGGAGGCTGAAGAAATTCGGCTTATCACCTAAAACCCTCACAAACTTTTACAGATGCACAATTGAGAGCATCCTGTCGGGCTGTATCACCGCCTGGTACGGCAACTGTACCGCCCACAACCGCAGGGCTCTCCAGAGGGTGGAGGTCTGCCGAACGCATTACCGGGGGCAAACTACCCGCCCTCCAAGACACATACAGCACCCGATGTCACAGGAAGGCCAAAAAGATCATCAAGGACATCAACCACCCGAGCTACTGCCTGTTCACCCTGCTATCATCCAGAAGGCGAGGTCAGTACAGGTGCATCAAAGCTGGGATCGAGAGAATGAAAAACAGCTTCTATCTCAAGGCCATCAGACTGTTAAATAGCCATCACTAGCACATTAGAGGCTGCTGCTGCCTATTGAAATTACTGGCCACTTTAAGAAATGGAACACTAGTCACTTTAATAATGTTTACATATCTTGCACTACTCATCTCATATGTATATACATATACATAATATATTATATTATTATATTATTATTATATACTGCATTCTATTCTATAATATTCTTCTGTATCTTAGTCCATGCCGCTCTGTCATTGCTTGTCCATATATGTATATATTCTTAAATCCCATTCCTTACTTTTTTGTGTGTATTGGGTATATGTTGTGAAATTGTTAGATATTACTGCACTGTCGGAGCTAGAAGCACAAGCATTTCGCTACACCCGCTATAACATCTGCTAAACACGTGTATCTGACAAATCAAATTTGATTTGATCTGACAGACAAAGCATAACATGGATAGGGTGCTGAGGAGCGGGAGCTGTACCCATTCAGGGTGATGAAGGCAACGCGGGGAGTCATGATTTCCCCAGGCCTGCTCCTCAGCACCCTATCCATGTTATGCTTTGTCTGAGTCTGAAAACACATACACACCCACACAAAATCAGTCACCAACAGTGGGGAAAAAAAGTATTTAGTCAGCCACCAATTGTGCAAGTTCTCCCACTTAAAAAGATGAGAGAGGCCTGTAATTTTCATCATAGGTACACGTCAACTATGACAGACAAATTGAGATTTTTTTTCTCCAGAAAATCACATTGTAGGATTTTTTATGAATTTATTTGCAAATTATGGTGGAAAATAAGTATTTGGTCACCTACAAACAAGCAAGATTTCTGGCTCTCACAGACCTGTAACTTCTTCTTTAAGAGGCTCATCTGTCCTCCACTCGTTACCTGTATTAATGGCACCTGTTTGAACTTGTTATCAGTATAAAAGACACCTGTCCACAGCCTCAAACAGTCACACTCCAAACTCCACTATGGCCAAGACCAAAGAGCTGTCAAAGGACACCAGAAACAAAATTGTAGACCTGCACCAGGCTGGGAAGACTAAATCTGCAATAGGTAAGCAGCTTGGTTTGAAGAAATCAACTGTGGGAGCAATTATTAGGAAATGGAAGACATACAAGACCACTGATAATCTCCCTCGATCTGGGGCTCCACGCAAGATCTCACCCCATGGGGTATAATGATCACAAGAACGGTGAGCAAAAATCCCAGAACCACACGGGGGGACCTAGTGAATGACCTGCAGAGAGCTGGGACCAAAGTAACAAAGCCTACCATCAGTAACACACTACGCCGCCAGGGACTCAAATCCTGCAGTGCAGACGTGTCCCCCTGCTTAAGCCAGTACATGTCCAGGCCCGTCTGAAGTTTGCTAGAGTGCATTTGGATGATCCAGAAGAGGATTGGGAGAATGTCATATGGTTAGATGAAACCAAAATAGAACTTTTTGGTAAAAACTCAACTCGTCGTGTTTGGAGGACAAAGAATGCTGAGTTGCATCCAAAGAACACCATACCTACTGTGAAGCATGGGGGTGGAAACATCATGCTTTGGGGCTGTTTTTCTGCAAAGGGACCAGGACGACTGATCCGTGTAAAGGAAAGAATGAATGGGGCCATGTATCATGAGATTTTGAGTGAAAACCTCCTTCCATCAGCAAGGGCATTGAAGATGAAACGTGGCTGGGTCTTTCAGCATGACAATGATCCCAAACACACCGCCCGGGCAACGAAGGAGTGGCTTCGTAAGAAGCATTTCAAGGTCCTGGAGTGGCCTAGCCAGTCTCAAGATCTCAACCCCATAGAAAATCTTTGGAGGGAGTTGAAAGTCAGTGTTGCCCAGCGACAGCCCCAAAACATCACTGCTCTAGAGGAGATCTGCATGGAGGAATGGGCCAAAATACCAGCAACAGTGTGTGAAAACCTTGTGAAGACTTACAGAAAACGTTTGACCTGTGTCATTGCCAACAAAGGGTATATAACAAAGTATTGAGAAACTTTTGTTATTGACCAAATACTTATTTTCCACCATAATTTGCAAATAAATTCATTAAAAATCCTACAATGTGATTTTCTGGATTTTTTTCCCTCATTTTGTCTGTCATAGTTGACGTGTACCTATGATGAAAATTACAGGCCTCTCTCATCTTTTTAAGTGGGAGAACTTGCACAATTGGTGGCTGACTAAATACTTTTTCCCCCCACTGTAATAGATCTTATTTTCTCCTGTCAGAATTAAAATGGCTAAGAAAAGAAGTTAGTGAATTTATGTCATTAAAATAAACTCAATATTTTTTATCTACATATGTAAAATTCGACTTGCAGGTTACCTGTACTTGAATGCATGAATGAGAATGTGTAGTATTGTTAAAGGCACTCACCTTCAGGTATCTGATGTACCATGGGGATAGCCTGGGCAGGCGGAAAAACATATTTGCTTTCTTCATGGTTGCGCTTAGCAAAGAAAGTTATCAGTTAAGTTTCCTGGGTTTTCAGTCTGTTGTCACACACAGAACTCCCCTCAGTTCTCCTATCTGTCTAGCGTGATGTAAACTCTAAACCTGTATATAAAGGCTCTCTCCATAATAATGGTGATTAGAGGGCCAGCAGGCCGCTCCAATCCTAAATTCATGGCATAGACACGCACACACCTGGTCAAACAAACAAATACACATTGATAGTACTGACAAGAAATCAAATAATTCTAGTACTAAAGAGTATTTATTTGTACATTTAAAAAATACATTGATAAGCATTAAGACAGAGAGAGATACGCTGATTGTGTCTGCCAACTTTTCAAGCTAATGTGTGTGCATTTTTTATTTTAATTAAATTACAGTTGTTATGGTACATGAGAATATATAGATATTTTTGTACAGTGGTAATAGGGGCATATGTGAGCTCAGGTGTCCATGGTGATGTTGCCAAGACAACACTAAAGGTGTTCAGCCCCCTTTTAGCAGTTTAAACTTGATTCTCATTTTGGATCAGATTTATTTGGGTCTCTCTCTGCCAGCTAGTTGAAGTGCCAAGCAACATGGCAAGACATCAAGACTTATGTCTCATCGGTTAGTGTGATGCAAAGAGTTGCCCGAACACCAGAGGTGTAAGAAAAGTGTACATTGACAGTGTGTGTGTTTGTGTGTGTGTGTGTGTGTGTTTGTGTGCATGTGTGTGTGCATGTGATCCTACCGAGACGGATGGATGGCCTCTCCAAATCGAGAATGAACCATTGACATCAGAGCTCTTGTCTGTGTTTAGCAGGGAGTTTATCTACAGCCGTTTGTCTGAGCAGAATCAGATAGGATAATAGGATCAGCACAACATAACATAACATAGCATAACAGGTCTTTCTACAGGGGGGAAACCTTAATCAGCACAAACTACTGACAGGTCAAGCTTGTTTTTATTATTGGATGATGATTTGCATGACATTTTAGATACAAATTATGGTATTTGTATGGTGTTTGTTTTCATGAGCAATCCATGTGAGATCACCTTGCAGTGCAGCTGATTTTATGTTCATTGTGTTCTTATGTTTGTTTTGTGTATGAAAATGGTATAGGCAGAAAATGTGTTATTGAGACCAATGCATGATGGACTGACTGACTGTGTGACTGTCTCACTGAGGGTAGGCTGGTTTTGAGAGGGGGAGCGTGGACCTTGTCCTCTCACTCAGTCTTGGCAGCCGTTTAGATGGCATCATGGGAAATAACTAGCTAGTGTGCAGCACCTATTTGTTTGTAAGGTTCCAGAGATGTGGGCCGAACATGCTGATTAGTAGTCTGTTCTCAGCATCCTGCCGTTCTGTGTCATCATCCCCTCATATTCTCCACTGACCCAAACTTTTCTGCAGAATCTTCTCTTCAACAAGCACCCACCCACCATCCCACTCACTAAGTATTGTATACAGATGCCGCTTGTGCCCTTACTAAGCCCTGACTACGATGTTAAAATAGCCTGGCTACCTTGGCTACCGCATCAGTGAAGGTGTCCCTGAGAGACAAACATGTTTGTATCAAAGTTCACCCTGCCCTCGTCTCTCTCTCTCCTACATACATACGTATATACGCACGGTTGCATGCACACATACACACACACACACACACACGCACACACACACACACACACACACACCACAGGCACAGAAACTCCTCTCCACACCATAAACATACACACAGTAGAGTATCCCTATTCCCTCTCTTAAACTTGTCTCCTCTCCTCTGTCTTCCTCATACACACACTCAGTTAGCTGCATTTATATGGCCGTTCACACAAGGTCCCTGCAGGCTTACAGTGGAGAAGTGCTTTGAGTGCCACAGCTCTGCCGTGGACACATTTTAACATTGGGAGACTGCACACCTCAACATGGCATCATCCCACACAGCCAGTGCAACCGCCAACCAGAACGTTTCCATAGTCATGAGAACTGAGATGCCCCCATCTAAAGACATCATCATATATCATTGGTTAGTTTAACTCTGTAACCACATGTTGTATGACTTTAGGTCACTCATGGATAGATGCATTTAATATCTCTCAAGTTAACTTAGAAGGTGGGAGCCTACCCAGCTCCTTGGCCATTACCTATGCATTGATTGATACGCATACAATGCTGAAGGACAAACTGGTCAAATCCTGTTGACATCATTGCATATAGAAACACAGCTATATTTTGTTTGAATCAAGCTGAAATTATTACCCCATCTAGTGGTTTGAATACATCTGTGTATGTACCTTCTCATTTGTTTGACAAAACATTTCCTCACAGCCTGGTCTCATAGACTAGACGTAACATAGTAAATGTAAATTAGTATGATATGTTACGTTTGGTATGGTTACATAAGACAGATGGTTACTTAAGGCAAAAACGAAAGTAGGGTGGTTGGTTGGGGTGGATAGGTATTCTCCCGAGTGGCGCAGTGGTCTAAGGCACTGCATCGCAGTGCTAGCTGTGCCACTAGAGATCCTGGTTTGAATCCAGGCTCTGTCGTAGCTGGCCGCGACCGGGAGACCCATGGGGCGGCGCACAATTGGCCTAGCGTCGACCAGGGTAGGGGAGGGAATGGCTGGCAAGGGGATGTAGCTCAGTTGGTAGAACATGGCGTTTGCAACGCCAGGGTTGTGGGTTCGATAAAATAATGTATGTGCTAACTGTAAGTCGCTCTGGATAAGAGCGTCTGCTAAATGACTAAAATGTAAATGTAATAGGTGCTGTATAACATGAACGTCTAGCAACCCAAAGGTTCCGAGTTGAAATCTCATCAAGGACAACTTTAGCATTTTTGCTAATTAGCTACTTTTCAACTACTTACTACTTTTTTTTAAAGCTACTTTTCAACTACTTCCCCTAACCCTAACTTTAACTATTTTAGCTAACCCTTCCCCTAACCCTAACCTTAACCCTTTAACCTAAGCCCTAAACCTAACCCTAACCTTAACCCCTAACCCCTAGCCTAGCTAACATTAGCCAGCTAGCTAGAATTTGTAACATATATTATGTTTTGCAAATTCATAACATATTGTACATTTTTCAAATTCGTAACATATAATACGAATTGTGTCTCGGATTTACATACATAATAATATAAAATGCTCTGAGACCAGGTTGCTCCTCAACATCTTTAACCAGGGGTGTATTCATTACCTCTTGCAACGGAAACAGTTAAACATTTAAGAACCAAAAGGAAGTAAGTGGAACGAAACTGGTACGGACCTACCAGAATTTGATTCTGATTTTCTAAAGATTGAAAACAACACAGTAGACTGCAAGATGAGTTCTCTTTTTCACAGCATAACTGGGGTCTTTGTCAGGCACACAAACAACACAGTAGTCTACTTCAAACTTCTTATGACACATTGTAGGCTATCTAAAACTACACAGAAGAAAAATATGAATGCAACATGTAAAGTGTTGGTCCCATGTTTCATGAGCTGAAATATAAGATCCCAGAAATTTTCCATATGAACAAAAAGCTTATTTCCCTCAAATGTTGTGCACAAATTGGTTTACATCCCTGTTACTGAGCATGTCTCTTTTGCCAAGATAACCCATCCACCTTACAGGTGTGGCATATCAAAAAGCTGATTAAACAGCATGATAATTACACAGGTGGACCTTGTGCTGGGACAATAAAAGGCCACACACAACACAATGCCACAGATATCTCAAGTTCTGAGGGAGCGTGCAATTGGCATGGTGACTGCAGGAATGTCCACCAGAGCTGTTGCCAGAGAATTGAATGTTAATTTCTCTACCATAAGCCGCCTCCAACGTTGTTTTAGAGAATTCGGCAGTATGCCCAACCAGCCTCACAACCGCAGACCATGTGTATGGCGTCGTGTGGGTGAGCGGTTTGCTGATATCAGCGTTGTGAGCAGAGTGCCCCATGGTGGCGGTGGGGTTATGGTATGGACAGGCATAAGCTACGGACAACGGACACAATTGCATTTTATCGATGGCAATTTGAATACATAGAGATACTGTGATGAGATCCTGAGGCCCATTGTTGTGCCATTCATCTGCCGCCATCACCTCATATTTCAGCATGATAATGCACGGCCCCATGTCGCAAGGATCTGTACACAATTCCTGAAAGCTAAAAATGTCCCAGTTCTTCCATTGCCTGCATACTCACCAGACATGTCATCCATTGAGCATGTTTGGGATGCTCTGGATCGACATGTACAACAGCCTGTTCCAGTTCCCACCAATATCTAGCAACTTTGCACAGCCATTGAAGAGGAGTTGGACAACATTCCACAGGCCACAATCAACAGCCTGATCAACTCTATGCAAAGGATATGTGTCGCGCTGGATGAGGCAAATGGTGGTCACACCAGATACTGACTGGTTTTCTGATCCACGGCCCTAACAAAAAAAATTTGACCAACAGATGCATGTCTGTATTCCCAGTCATATGAAATCCATAGATTAGGGCCTAATATATTTATTTAAATTGACTGATTTCCTTATATGAACTGTATTAACCAATTGTTGCATGTTGCGTTTATATGTTTGTTCAGTATAAGTTGAAAAGGCAAACAGATATTTTGGACCAAAAATGGGAAAATAAATTGTTGGTAAGCTAAATGAAGGTCAAGATATAGGCTAAAGAATGTAGGCCATCATTCGCCTATATATTTAGGAGAAGTGGTCTGATTAGGCCTATTAGGGTATTGACTTCATGAAAATGGCATCTGTCTATGCTCATTTTCCATTTCATACTCAATATGTGCAAAAAAGTCGGCTTGGAGATGGGGTTTGGGAGAGCTTGAAACTGTCAGATGAACTATGAAACTGCAAATGTTCTGCAGCTGACTGCAACATTTTTTAATAACATATCAGGCGTCCTCGACACGCATGGATATTAACTAAATTTACTTGAGAGTCTTTATTAATATGACATTAATTATAAGGCATTAGTCCATTTCACAACTGACCAAAGGTGTGAAAAATATGTGTTGGCTAGAATGTCCGTGTTGAAAAAGGTAGCCTACCATGAACAAAGAATAATAGTTTGGTCTATTTTCACCTGCACAATGAGCGAAATTGTTTTTACCTCAATATATGAATGGTTGTTAGTTGATTGGAAATAGATACATAAAAAAAAAAAACTGCCCTAGCCATTTTATTTGGCATGAAACCAGTGAGCTCGTGGAATATGATGTAGGCCATTTACTGCGGTGATCATTAATAATAATAAGACGTTACCTATGGAGAAACAGCGCAAATCAGGTCGGTGGAATTACTTATTGTTAGTGAATAGAAACTAGAAGCTGAATATTGTCAGTGCCCCTGATATTTTGGTCTTCCTTTTTTTTGCTTCACGCGCTCAATTTTGCATAGCTTACATACAAAGTAGGCCTAGCCTATATAATGTAGGCCTAGCTATGCTCAATGTAGTATACATATTTTTGATTTGGTTAGTAGTGGTGGGGTTTTGTTTGTCCTGTATTTAAATGGTTTCAACATCAAATATAGGCTAGCCTACTGCAGGGCAAGCCAACCCATCAAACAGGCGTTCAAATATCCAACTTTCAGATTACCATGGCTACTACAGACACATTGCTGCCTTTTCCTTGACAAGAACCCAGGTAAGAGGCATGGCAGGCTAAATCTACCAAATAAAACAAAATGTTAATTATTAGGCAGAAAGCATCAAGCAGCGAAACTCTGAATGACAGTGAGTGCTTCAATACGACATCCAGTTCCAATAGCTTAGGAACTGAATGCACTTCACTCAAGTTCGCCATCTCATACTGTAAGTATGTACAGTACTTAATGGATTTGCATCATGTGTGTTACTGTAGATTGTATGGTCAAAGGTTCAATGCATTATATAATTTTTACTCCACAAGAATCTTCGTAAATGGGTTTAATACAGAGCGATTTTAGTGCCAAAAGAAACTATTTGAATTCAATATTTTTAAATGTGTATTTCATGATTTGAAACTGAATTGAATGAGTATTGCATTCAGTTTTAAAATTCAATTTCAATGTAATTGAATATTCTAATTGAATATTTATATATTCAGCTTCAATATGGTAGATATTGCATTCATTGTCTTTGTATCATGTTTACAAAGTTGACCAAAGTTTAATATATTCAACTTCTCAGATGCATTCAGATGCAGTTCTCTAAGGCTGCTTATTCTCTAAGGTTGCGTTTACACAGGCAGCACAATTCTGGTCTTTTTTTTCTTCCACTAATTAGTCTTTTAACCAATCAGATCAGCTCTTTTGCCAATAATTGGGCAAAATATCAGAATTGGGTTGCCTGTGTAAACGCAGCCTACATTCAGATTCAAAACCAGAGACAACATCCTGGTATTTTTCCAGCAAGGAATGGTAGAAGAGAACAGATAGAAACAAATGTTCCCTGTGTTAAACAGGTTTCTGGTGGTTTCTGAAGCCAATGTGGCATGTTGAATTTATTTTCTTCTTATAAATGTGGCTCTAGTGTTTGAACCGTTTGGGCTATAACCTTTTATGACCCCATTCCTGAAAGCTAAGGCTCTCTGGAACATAGTGCCTTCTCTTCCCCTCTATGATGCTCACAGGATGTGCAGGACATGTTCGAAGGGAGTGTGACAAAAACCGCATCCTTAGAAGGGCTATGACCGGGCTATTCAACACTATTCTTATTGGGGCCAAATTGCGTATTCTTGTCACACTCCCTTCTAACGTGTCCGGCACGTCCTAAAAGGGGTCGTAATAGCTTATAGCCTAAACGATTCAAACGGTAGAGCTGAATTCATAGGAAGAAAATAAAGTCAACATGCCACATTAGCTTCAGAAACCGCCAGAAACCTGTTTAACACAGAGGGCTCTATTTAAGGCAGCACTAGTGTCAAATGCAAAATATTTGGCATTTTTTACTTGTAAAAGCGAGCGTTCTGCTATTTTCCAACCCTGGCACCAGGGTTGGTACTTTACATGTCTTATATCAACTCGCAATTGCGCTGAGGTGGGAGGAGTGTCCTTAAAAACGTGCGCCAAAGAGCCAATTACAAGCAGCACTACTGGTGGTATTTAAGACTCACCAAAAGCTGGTCTATGGCATTGATTTTGCCAGCGGAGG